ACTCTTCATTTTGGAAGCATTATCTCTTGTAGCTTCCTACCATGAGAAAGGATGCATGGAAGGTAAATTTTGTGAACTCGTGAATCTAAAAATATTTGGTTTGTACTTTGTCTGGGTGAAGGTGGGAAAAATAATTTTACTTTAGGTTTCCCAAGGCTTTGCTCTTTGCCTTCTAACTTCTACTTGTTGCTGTGGAGAAGCCCACAGCCATTCTGACTCCTGACAATCTCGATGTGACCTGCTTCTATTGCCAGGATATTTTTTTGTCCCCATTATTCTAAGCTTCAACAGCAGTCTGCTTTAGGGTAGGGCTATTTTTTCCCAATGTGCTGGGCTCCCTGTGGGCCCTTTCAGCACACATTCTTCAGTAGTGGAGACTTTTCTTGGATTAATTCATTGATGACTCCGCCCACCCCTTGTGTTTTCTCTGATCATTCATTCGGAGTTCCTGTTATTTGATCAATGGACTTTCTGGATGGTCCTCTAATTTTTTTCTCTATATCCCATCTTTGGCATTCTTTCTTGCTCTACTTTTTTTTTTTTTTTAAGGTTTTATTTATTTTAGAGAGAGAACACAAGCGGGGGAGGAGCAGAGGGAGAGGGACAAGCAGACTCCATGCTGATCACGGAGCCTGACACAGGGTCCGATCCCAGGAACCTGAGATCATGACCTGAGCAGAAATCAAGGGTCAGACGCTCAATTGACTGAGCCACCCAGGCACCCCTTATTCTACTTTAATAGGGATTTCCTCAACTTTATCTTCCTTTCCCCCTCTTGAGGGTTTTTTCCTCTCTGCTATCTTATTTCAAATTTCCAAGAGCTTTGTTTGTTCTCTGAATGTTTCTTTATATGTGTCATGCCTTCATGGGTTGCAATATCATAATTTCTCTTATGACATTATTAGTAGTTTTGTTGACAGGGACTTCTCTCTGTATAGTCTCTGTTTCTTCCAAGCTGCTTTAAAAAAAAAAAAAAAATCCACTGGGGGCTTTAGATTTCATGATACAAGGCTTTCCTGAGATGCCAGGTCTGCTTTGGCAGCCTGTGAAAGACTGATTAGAAGCCCTGTACACATGCGTGGGGCCTTTCCTTTGGGTGATCTGGCTTAGTTGGGCAACCACAGATGCCAAAGAATTTAGGTGTTTCCCTTGGCCTGGTCCTGATGCTCCAGAAAAGACCCTTTGTCTCCTGGCTCTTGCAATCTGAAGTGCCAAAAAGGGGGCAGGGTTTGGTCTCAGCATCCAATATCTGTAGGTTCATTTAATCCCCCCATTCCTATTATGGCACCTCTGCCATCAATTATGCCTGGTGTCTCTCAGTGCCAGATGCTCGCTTATACTTTCTTTAGATAATAACCATCCTGTCTTTTGTCAGGATAGGGACGGCTGCACAGAATTAGGAAGGGGATCTGGGCAATTCAGTGCTTCTTAGCCAGGCTTTCTAGCTTATTCTTAGGTTAGCCTCTTATTCACACTCATGTCCAGAGGTACCTACTGCCATCCATTCATGAACCTTCTGGACATTCCAAGGTTTGTTCCTGGCTATCATTTCAGGATTTCATTTTCTCTGGTCTGTAAGTATTGTAGCTTCAAAAATTGTGTTGTTGTTACTTCCTCCCTTGCTCTCCCCATCCTTGACAATTTCTGTCTTAGAACAAGTAAACTTACTGTTGTTTCAGGAGGCTCCAGAAATTAGTCAGTCTACCACCTCTACCAGAAACCCCAGCCACCTTTTCAGTCTTGTATTTCTTTACTCCGCAGACACATCTCCATCTACTTGTTCTCATCTGATCTTCCCTACTCTGCTTTTGTATATTCTGTTCCTTCCATCTGACTCTTGATCCCCACCCACCCTCATATATACAATGAGCTACCCCTGCCAGAATCCTATTTAGCAAGAAAAGCATGGATTCATAGCTCTGGGGAAGAGAAATGAATCTCTGGATACCGGAACATACTTCTACATGGTAAGGGCTGCAGGGTCCGAGGCTTTCTTTTTTTTTTTTTTAGAAATAATTTTCCTTTTTTTTTTTTTACGATTTTATTTATTTATTTGAGAGAGAGAGAGAAACAGCATGAGAGGGAAGAGGGTCAGAGGGAGAAGCAGGCTCCCTGCTGAACTGGGAGCCCGATGCGGGACTCGATCCCCCGACTCTGGGATCATGACCTGAGCCGAAGGCAGTCGCTTAACCAACTGAGCCACCCAGGCGCCCCCGAGGCTTTCAGTGAACAGTCATCAAATGGGTGGGAAACCAGCCAAGGGGCTGAGTTTTGCATCCTGAATGCCACAGGGCACAGCTGAAACCCTTAGGGAGACTGCACTCAGCACTCATGGGGAGAGGCCTAGGGACTGCTTAGGGCTGTGGATGGGGGTGGGGTTTGTGCACAGCAGTGCAGGGGACCCTTGACCCAGGCTGGCCTCCCCTCACACAGGGCGGGTGTCTTATCCATGGCTGTGGCCCAATGCCTAGAATAGTGCATACCTGTAGGAGGATGGCCAGTGTATGTGCAGGCGGGGGTGAGGGGGTGGGTATCCCAGCAGGGGTCATGGAGAAAGCCAAGAGATGTGGTAATCTCAAAGACTGGGGCAGAGTCCCCCACTCAGGCTGGAGAGGAATGGAGAAGGGATGGGTGCTGGTAAGTCCGTGTAGGGCCAGCTCCATCTTTAATGAAGTGACTGATTGTGGCATGTGGTGGGACTACAGGAACATTGTGAATCATTATTTGGTCAGAACACAAATCTCTTAAATGTCATCAACACAATCTGCCTGACAGAATGATTTCTTCCTGCCAGGAGACCCTCTTCCAGGGACCTGACCCAGATGGCCCTTACAGAGCCCACCCCAGGGAAGCACGCCTGTGGTCTTCCCAGAGGGCACCAACTTGATCAGTGAGAGGGAAGTTTAGGGTTTCAGTGATAGACACCCAGGGCGCTCAATCATCCACGCCAGTTTACGGTTCACCATAGCATGCAACAGAGAACGTCTCTCTCAGTTCCTTCTTCGTTACCTGGAAGGACGTTTTTTCTACTCACGACTCAAATTAACTTGGTGAGAAATGGTCGCTCTGAATTTTGTGCGCAGGATGACCTCGCCCCACCCAGCCCCCTTCTCAGGTCCGCAGGCTCCCCTCGCGGTCGGCGGACACGTGCAAACCGTCCTTTAAGGCAAACCACCCAGGGGCGGCCGTCCCAGGCCTCAGCCTTCCGGTTCAGGGGCTGCCGGCGAGGGTCCGGAAAGGGGCTTGCGGCGTTTGATTCTGAGGCAGTAGGAAGTTATGTACTGGCCTCTCCAGTGATGGCCTAGGCCTGTAGGAGGATGGTGGGGCCGAGGGGATGGGGAGGAGGGGCGCCGGTGAGAGTCAGGGGCAAGTTGGCAGGGCCAGGGCCAGGAATACGCGGGCTGGGCGCAGCGGTGTGTTTCCTTCGGTAGGCCCGGACAGGGGTGTGGGTGGGGCGCGGTGGGCGGGGTCCTCGCAGCTGGTGGCGTTTGAAGCCTTCCCCACCGCGGTGGGAGAGGGGCAGTCTAGAGAAGTTGGCAGCTGGCCTGGGGCGGGGAGGAGGAAGGGGCCCCGCGTTCCCCGAACAGCGGCGCCGGCTGCACCAGCACGTAGTTCACTCTTGCAGGCACAGGACGCGGTGGGCACGTCACCCACGTTGCCAGGTTAACCACCAGCCCGGAGCCAGTGCGGCTCCGGCTGACCTAGGCTCACCGGCCGCGCCATCCCCTCCGAGTCCGCGGCCGCCCAGGACCAGTCGGGGAAGCAGCCGGTCCTTCCTGCGGGAGCGGCCCCGCCCCACCCGTGACCTCGCTCCCAGCTGGGCCGAACGGAGGCCCGGAGATCAGCAGAGGGAGCATGGAGGGGGCGAGCGGCCTGCGTCTCGAGGCGCGGCCACCCAGGAACCCTGCAGCGGTGGGGTGCACGGGGAGCTGTTCCGCCCCCAGGCCAGGCCCGCAGCCCAGCGCCCAGCCGGAGCCGACACGACTCCTCGCTGTGCAAACGTCGCTCTGGAAGGGAAAGGAGAAGCGGAGGCGAGCCCCGCCGAGGCGCACCCATCCCTGGCGCCCCTCACAGGCGGGGTGGAGGGACAAAGGGGCGCCCTCCCGAGCGCTCGCTTCCACTCCGGGGTTCGAGGCTGTAACCGTACAGAAGACCCGGCAGGAAAATGCCCCGCGGGTACCCCGCTGCTAGGGGGGGTAGGGTGGGGTGGGGAGCGGTCCCCTCACAGCCACGCCCCAGCCCACCGCCCTCGGACGTCCTGCGTCAGCGTGCCCGGCTCCCGGCTCAAATTTCCGCTCCTCCTCCCGACGGCCAAGAGGGCACGCCCATTGGCGCGCGCAGGCCCCAAGGCCCGGTCGGCCCCCCTGGCCGCCTCGATTGGTCCGACCGCCTACCGACGAATCTACGGCGTCCGCCCCTGTCCTAGGCCACGCCCCCTCCTCAGACGCGAGCGCGCGACCGCTCTATCCTGACTAGGCGCGCTCTGGGATCCCCGCCCCCTCCGCGCGCGCAGTTCCCCGCGGCCGCCGCCGCCTGTAACCTGCGCCGCCAGGATGTGGCTGGGGGCTGACGTCGGGTCCAGATGTGGCCCCGGCCCCGCCCACCCCCGGGGCCGGGCCGCCCACACCGACCCGCGGCGCGCACGGCGGCTGTCCCGCCTGCCACAATGCGCGGCGAGGCTGCGGCCGCAACTTGGCGAGGTAGTCTCTAACGTCGCTGCTCGGCATCCCTAGGACAGGCCGCCCCTGACGCCGCGCGGGGACCCCATTGGCCCACGCCCCCCATGCGCTCACTCTTTGGTGCCCGGCCGGGCGGGCGCCGCGCGGACGCGGAGCCGCGCGGGTGACGGCAGAGGCGGCTGCGCGCCCAGCCCAGCCCGCGGAGAGGGCGCGCCGCGCCCCCGCCCCCCGCCCGCTCTCGGGAGGCCGTGGGTGCGGATGCGCCTCTGACGACTCTCAGCGACCAGCAGTGCCGCCGGCCCGCCGGCCGGAGCCCGCAGCATGGCAGCCGCCGCCTATGTGGACCACTTCGCCGCCGAGTGCCTCGTGTCCATGTCGAGCCGCGCGGTCGTGCACGGGCCGCGGGAGGGGCCGGAGCCCGGACCCGAGGGCGCGGCCGCCGCTGTCGCCGCCACGCTGCCCCGCGTCGAGGAGCGCCGCGACGGCAAGGACAGTGCCTCGCTCTTCGTGGTGGCGCGGATCTTGGCGGACCTCAACCAGCAAGCGCCGGCGCCCGCCCCGGCGGAGCGCAGAGAGGGCGCCGCGGCCCGGAAGGCGAGGACCCCCTGCCGCCTGCCGCCCGCGCCGCCACCCGCCCCCGAGCCCGCCTCCCCCGGCGGCGAAGGTGCGGCGGCCGCGCCCCTCAGCCCCGCGTGGAGCGAGCCCGAGGCCGAGCTCGAGGCGGGGCTGGAGCCGGAGCGGGAGCCAGGGCCCGCGGGGAGCGGCGAACCCGGCCTCAGACAAAGGGGCCGGCGGGGCCGAAGTCGCGCGGACCTGGAGTCCCCGCAGAGAAAGCACAAGTGCCACTACGCGGGCTGCGAGAAAGTTTACGGGAAATCCTCGCACCTCAAGGCGCACCTGAGAACTCACACAGGTCAGTAGGACCGCCCGGGCGCCCCGAGCGCGCGGACGGGGACAGCACAGGCCACCGGGCCACGCCCCCGGAGCTGCCGGCGGGGCGCGAGGGGCGGTCGGGCCGGGAACGGTCGGGGCCTCGCCCCTTCCCCCGCCACACGGTCCTGCGGTCGGCCCCGCGCGCCGAGCGAGGTGGGTCCGGGAGCTGGGAGCCGGCGCCCGCCCGGCGACCGCGCCCCCGCCGGGCACGCCCCCTCCCCGGGCACTCTCGGGCGGGGCCGCGGGGGCGGATGTCGTCATCTGGGCTGCGGGCGTAGACCCCGCGGGGGCCGGGGGGCGGCGCGGGCAGGTGCGGGCGAGCTGGGTGGGGGCCTCGCGTGCTGCTCCGGGAGATGGGCGGCGGGAGCGCCCTGGGGCCGCGGGGGAGGGGTGCCCTCGCCTCGGCCCCTCCCCTGCCGGCCCCTCCCCCGCCGGCCTAGAGCGCGCTCGGGAGGGGAGGGACCCGCCCGGCCCGGCCCGGCCCGGGCGAGCGGCGAGCGAAGTTCACGCGGGGACAGGGCTCCCTCCAGCCACTCGGCACATTCTTCGCTCTCCTCTTCCTGTAATTTTGCCAGCGTTCTAAGGTTTAATTTGTCGAAACCAGAGCCAGCAGCGGCCGACGCGGGGGGCGGTCCGGGTTCTCGGCCGGAGGCTCTTTGTGGGAGCCCCGCCCATCCGGCCAGCGGAGGCGCGCCCGACCCTAGGGGGCTCTTCGGCCTGGGGGCGCTTTCACTCGCCTAGTACATAGCCCGTTCCTCCGCGCTCCCTTCTCCTCCGCCCTGCTCTCACCTGCCGGGTGCCGGATGCGTGCGGGCGGCAACTGCACGGGGGCGGTCGGTCTCAGAGGACCATCGCCTGACCCCCCAACCCCCGGGCAGCCCTCCCCTTCGCACGGGCCCGGGACCTCGTCGTTGGTTGTTTTTCGTTTTCTTAAACACAAAGGTGGGATGCAGCCTTTCTCACCCAGTTTGGTTTTAAAGAATTGTGTGTTTTTCCTGGGCTCACGCTAACTCTTCTGTTACACTTGATTCTTGCACATTTGGAGCAGGTTAAAAACCCGTATAAATACAGTTACCTTGATACCAACGATTTAGACTTCACATTTATAAAACAGTACAGAAACTGGTTACAAGACTGGTTTAAAAACTGCACTCCTCAAGACCCTGGAGCTGAAAGACCCCCTTCTCCTGGTATATTTGTAACTGAGCAGTCCCGAGGTCTGCAGGTGTCAAAGCCAGCGGATTTCAGACAAACCTTTACCTCGGAGGCTGCCCACGCGGTTTTGGTCCCTTGCTGTGGGCGCCCCAAATCACGTGGCTGGTGGTGGGGTCGAGGGTGAAGGCGGGGCCATTTCTATTCATTCTTAGTCAGAATTAAGGGTGTGTGGACCGAGATAGGGGGTGGGGTTAGTGTAGGGTTGTTGGTTCAGCTTGGGAACGTTACTGCAAGGGTGGGTGTGGCCGTGGAGGAGGGGCCAAACTAGGTTGGGATCCTGGAGCACCCAGATTACGGGGGCGGGGGCAGTGCGTGGGGCGTGGCTCGAGGACCGCCTTGGGGGGCGAGGCCGGCACTGGACCGGTAATTTAAGGATTGGAAGCTTCGTAGCCTGTTTGACTGTGGCCTTCCAGGGGGCTAGCGGGGTTCGAGAATTGCGGAGGGGCTGGCTGAGGGGCGGGGCTCGCTGTCATGGGCGGGGCAGGCTTGGACGGGGGGCCGGAGCTGGAGGATAGCTGGTGGGTTGTCTTGCTCCCTGATTCAGGCTCTAGTGTCCCTGATGGGGTCCCTTGGCTAGAGGATTGGGCAGAGGCGTTGGGAACCCAGGCCTCCCCCGGTGGGGTGGAACCCAGTCTCTCTGGGGTGCTTTGAAACCCTAAGCACAAAGAAGAGGATGGACCCCACACTGGCTGCAGTGTGCTGGGTCTAAGAGCAGGGAGGTGGCCTAGCCCTCCAGGTGAGCCCTACCTTCAGAGCAGATGTAGACCTCCAAGTCAGGAGCGTACGGGGTTCCTTTGGGGCCCTTGGAAATGCAGATTTCCAGGTCCCAGATATTGACCTTCCGACGAACAGTTTTAGTGGTGCCCCAGGTGAATCTGATTATGAACCAAGAAAGAACCTGCCTCTGGAGGGTGTCTGGTTCAGCCTCAGGTGGAGAGCACCTCTAGGGAGCCCATTTCCAGCCTGTGCCCAGGTGTGCAGAACATAATTAGCTGGTGTTCATAAAGGAGACAGGGGTAGCCCACAGGCCACAGTGGGTGACCGAGAGGCCAGGCTACCCTGGGAAGACCTGAGCAGCAGACCTTGGTTCTGAGGTAGCTGTGGTTTGGTTTGTGGACTTCCAGGAGCTTTCTGGGGGGGTCCCTGCCGGCAGTGGTTCAGGTCATGCCAGGCCTTCTACTCAATAGGAACCGCCGCCACCACTACTCCACCCACCCGTAGCGATTTCATGGCAGGGGGTGAATATCAAAACCCCTTTAGCCAAGAAGGCAGTTTACAGCTTGCTCTGTCTAGCCCTGTGGCCAAGGACGGGTCCCCAGACCTCCCTGCAGCTTGGTGATGTCTCCCCTGACCACTTGGAAGATCTGTGGGAAATGAGGCTGTGAGTTTGACAACCCTTTGGGAAGTACAAGGCTTAACCTTGACTCTGGGGAGACCAGGTCTTCCCTGACTCTGCTGAGATCTCCCACCCCCACCCCCACTCCCTGCCCGACTGAATGCAAAAGAGCTGCTTGTCCTGGTTAGTTAGTTGTGTGCCAGTCTCCTGGGGACTGATTACCCTGTCACATTTAGGTGATTGTTGATGTTATAGCAAACACGTGATGAAACAAAGACACGTTTTTGCAGCTCAACCCACTTTTTTTTCTTTTTTTTTTTTTAAAGCCACTTATTTGGCTAGTCAGAACTTCCCAGTCCAGATCTGGGAATTTGCTAAGTCTTGCCTTGGGGAGTAGCAAGACCAGGAACATATTTTCTTGGAGGCTGAAGGGCTTTGATGTGAACATTCAGGACTTTCAGAAGGAAAGGCCTAGGGCCCTTTGAGGGCAGATCTTCCCCCTGAGCCAGCCAGGCCCTTCACCTGGAGATTCCTGCTTGTTGTCTGGAGTGGTGGGGCTTGGCAGACCCCCAGCAGAATGGTTACTCAGCCTTTCTTGGCAGAGATGCTTTGAATACATTCCTACCTATTTGTTCCCACAAAGAATTGTTTTCAGAATGCCTCTGTGCCCTGCTTTCCCTGCAGCACCGGGAGCTAAAACATCCACTCTCTAGCTGCCTGGGCTGGGTCCATATCAGCAGCTCTGGGGGGCTGGCTGGAAAGGGGGGCACTGTGCTGTGCATGGCTCCTCCCTCCTGCAGACCTCGACGGTGACACATCCCTGGTCACCTGGCCCTCTTTGGGGTGGGGGTGGGAGTGGGAGTAGCGTATTCTGTCAGCCATTTCCTGTAATAATTTGGGTGGGGTTAGTTGGAAGTTTATCTTGAGCCACTGAACAAGGGATTTGATCATGAATGAGATTATTGGGGCAGGGTATTTAGGTTCCCTCCCCCGACACAAACTCTGGCTGTAGAGCCTGGTTTCCAACCACACTGCTCTCCTGGCCCCATCGCAGCTGCGTCGGACCCACAGCCTGTCAAGTGGAGGGTGAGCGGCTGGGGTCTCCTTCACCTAGGGCGAAGCCAGGCTGGCAGAGAGCCAGCACTTTGTTCAGGATACATCCAGGCTGGCAGTTCCCGTCCCTGCTCCCTCACGGTCCTGGGCTGCCAGTGGGCCTGGTTGTGAAATTCTTCAAACAGCACAGAAGCGAGTAGACAGAATGTGTCAGCCTTGCCCTCCTCTGGCTAACCACTATCACCGCATGTTGGTGTGTCCCTTTCCAGACCCTTTTAATGGATTTGCGTTATGCGTGCGTGTGCGTCCACACAGACATTCGAAAAACACACATGCAGGATGGTAGCGAATACATTCTACCACAGGCTTTTGTTGTGTGCTTGTTTAATGAGGCACCTTCATTCTTTTTCCTGGCTGCGTGGTACTCGAGGGGGGCCGTGTGGCTGTGCAGACGTGACTGGGGAGCCTCCCACCCGTTGGAAGGATAGCTGTGTTGCCTTTCCCGTTTTTCATTGTTCCGTGCCCGCAGCAGTGGACTCTGGTGTGGGTCTTGGTGCGGAGGGGCTGGCATTTCTGTAAGATCGAGCCCTGGCAGGGTTACTGACCGTGGTGTAGACAGCAGTTCAGTGTACTGTGGAGTTAACTATGTTGACTTAAAAGACACGTTATGTTTTTAAAGGAAATAGCACATTATGTTTTTAAAGGAAATAGATGGAGGTCTTGGTCTCCCCAGTACTGAGGTTCCTGCTGTGTTGCTGCCTTTTTTTTTTTAAAACTTCTCCCAGTTCTCCTTTTGCACATGTGAGATCATCATATTGAGAACATTTAAAACAACACTAACAAAACCACCATTACTCTCTCATGCCTCATGACCTCCCACCGTCTTTACTTGGCTTATGCTGGGGCCTGGCCCGGGTGAGGGTTCAGCCCCTGTCGCAGTTAGGTGTGCCCACCCCACCCCCCACCCCTGTGCCTCCTGGCTTGTTGGCACTGGGCACGAGGCTGGTGTGATGCCATTTGAAACTCTCCCTTCTCTGGCTAAAAGAGGGCTGGAGCCCCTCCTGTGTGAACAAGCTGATAGCACTACACTTCACTTAACCAGAGGTCCTGTGGGGGGCTTCAGATGTGGAACACAACAGAGGTGGCGCCCTGCCCCTTCAGAGTCGGTGCTCTGAAGCCCACTCACTGAACTGAGCTGCGACAGCCCAGACACGGTTAGGACCTTTTTGCTCTAACCTTCCTCTGAATCCAGTTGGTCGTTGGGTTCCTAGACGTAGCAAATCAAAAGGGGAAGGGGGAGATATGTTAATAGCAGCTACAAGCAAGGAAGGAAAGAAACCAAGTTATTAATATGTATGCATCTGTATATGCATGTG